TGAGTCAGAGACTCTGACGTACGAGCAGCCTTTGAAGTTTTGAGCCTGTTCGCGCACTCTCCCTGTAGTGCTCTATATCGTACTTTGCTTGTGCTGAGCAGCGAAAAGTTTTGCCGAAAAAAAGTCGTAGCCATCACCGCGCCGTCATAATTCAGCTCACTTGAATCGACAACAGCAGCTCGGTGTTTCAAACTCCCATCCCCTCTCCTGGTGACACTTCGCCCAGCAGAAACAGCGAATTGTACCACACCCCAATCGTCACGATGTACAACTCAGCGGAGACTGGCACCTACGGCCAGGATGGCTTCGATGCCTTCAGCAGCAAAACAGTTCGTCTTGGTAAATGATGCTTTCCTCCTGACTTTGACAAGTCGGCTTCTGATGCCGGTAAAAGCTTCTTACAGTTCCATTTCTTTCCAGGATTCATTCGCAAGGTCTACGGAATCTTGTCGGTGCAGCTCCTCATCACTCTTGGCTTCGTTTGCGCTTTCTCTCTCAGGTAAGCACTGACACACTTTGCCAAACTTGAAAACACATGCTCAATTTTCATCATTACAGTGATGGTGCTCGAAAGTGGACACGCCAGAACCAATGGCTCTTCTGGGTTGCTTTGTAAGTGAAACACTCCGGGACTGGATAAAATGAGCTAAAATTGTAACATGCACTGTTTTACTTAGCGGTACCACCCTGGTCACCATCATCATGCTGACTTGTTGCGAGAACTTTCGACGAAAGACTCCACACAACTACGTGGCACTGATGGTGTTTACCTTTGCCGAGTCTTTCATGGTCGGGGTGATCTCATCAATGTACTACTACAAGATCGTTCTCACGGCTGTACTGATCACCGCGGTCATCTGTCTGGCGCTGACCATTTTCGCGTTCCAAACGAAGATCGACTTTACCGTCTACAATGGCTTGCTCTTTGTCCTCCTGATCGTCCTGATGCTGTTTGGCTTGATTGCCTCTTTCTGGCGTGACGGCATCGTGCATCTCATCTACTCTTGTCTGGGAGCCCTCTTGTTCTCTGCTGTAAGTACTTCATGTTTGCATGACTTTCTTGTGTTGTCCCTTTGTCTTGTGGTTTGTAAAAGTCCTCTCCCACCAACACTCCCCTCCAGTCGTAGAATCTACCCCACTCCCCCCTCTTTATTTCCCCATTTTAATTGTGGTTTATTTGCCCCTCATTTTTCTGCATCTTTCTCCCAACAGTACCTTGTAGTTGACACCCAAATGATCGTGGGCGGAACCCACAAGTTCCAGATTTCATCGGAAGAATACGTTTTCGCCGCGCTGACATTATATTTAGATGTTATTAACATCTTTTTATATGTTTTGAGCATAATTTCCTCAGCCAACCGTTCTTGAGCTTGTTATTCTGCCCCTCTTCCGTTTTCCCATCCCCTGCTATTTCCCCTGATGTTCATATTTGTTTTCCTTTCGCACACTTTGCACTTTGCATCTTAGCCTTCATCCACTTATAAATATTTGAATAACGCGTTATCTCTTCTTTCTGCAGTATCTTGTAGTTGACACCCAAATGATCGTCGGCGGAAGCCACAAGTATCAAATTTCACAGGAAGAATACGTCTTTGC